GAAAAAAAAAAAAAAAAAAAAAAAAAAAAAAAAAAACCTCTCATGGTTTCCAAAGATGAAGTGTTCCTCGCAGTGAGATGTGGTTCAGAGTGATCCAAAGTGGAATTAGTTGTGGGTGGGAAGCAGTTGACAAAGAAGAACCAGAATTTTTCATAAATGTAGGAGAGTTGAGGTCTGTAGTCTAAAAGGTAGGATTGGGAAAGTCCCAGCAATCGGTGACAACTACTTGCATCTGGGAGAAGGTGAGGGTAGAAGGGAACCTCCTAATATGTGCACTGCAGCCTTCTGATTGGCAGGGAACCAATGGAGTTGGTCTGCAAGGCATGGGCAGATTACATTCTTTTGCTCCAGAGGAATGGTTCTTCTTGAACCTCCACTTGCCCCAGTGTAGTGCTCCCATGGGAAGAGGGTTTGCTTTATAATAGGACTTCTGTTACCATTCCTAAGTATCTAAATGGATGGCAGCCAGGTTTAACTTTGAGTCAGCATCATGGGATTTTAAAGTAAGAGCGTGACCCTCCATTCCATTTTTCTGCTCTAAATAGAAATCATATTCTGATTGTTCCCTTTCCTGGGCACAATAATGCAGATTTAAGTTCTTCTTTCATGCCCCCCAAAATAGCTGATTTTTTTTTGCTCTTTATTTTCTCCCCTTTATAAAATTAAAGCAGAGAAAATGGGAAATTATTCTTTTTTCCTAAAATTTGAAGAATCAAAGAAATGCCCTTTTCAGCTCAAACTGTAATTATGGGGCTGAGAGACTTGTTAGCTACCACTGTCTACTATCATCTTTTAAAGAAATTTTTAAAATTTGTTCTAATTAGTTATACATGATAGTAGAACACATCATACATAAATGGTTTATATCTTTTCATTCTTCTGGTTGTACATGATGTAGAGTTATATAGTCATGTAATCATACATGCACATAGGGTTATAATGTTTGATTCATTCTACTATTCTTCTTGCCCCTACACCCTCTCCCCTCTTCACTCCCCTCTGTACTAATCCAGGTACCTCCATTCTTCCCTAGCCCCCCACCCCCTTATTGTGAATTAGCATCCGAATATCAGAGAAAACATTCAACCTTTGATTTTTTGGGATTGGCTTATTTTTCTTAGCATGATATTCTCCAGTTCCATCCATTTACCAGCAAAGGCCATACTTTTATTATTTTTTAAACTGAGTAATATTCCGTTATGTTTCCATGCCCTACTTTCTTTATCTGTTAATCTGTTGAAGGATACCTAGGTTGGTTCCATAGTTTAGCTATTATGAACTGTGCTGTTATAAACATTGATGTGACTGCATCACTGTAGTATGCTGATTTTAAGTCCTTTGGGTATAAACCAAAGAGTGGGATAGCTGGGTGAAATGGTGGTTCCATTCTAAGTTTTCTGAAGAATCTCCATACTGCTTTCTGTAGAGGTTGCACCAATTTGCAGCCCCATCAGGAATGTATGAGTGTGCCTTTTTCCCTGCATTCTTTCCAACATTTATTGTTGCTTGTATTTTTGGTTGTCACCTATATCATCTTTTAAAAACAGTATTATTTTAATTCTGTAAATTCATGGACACTGTGTGATAATTTATGCTTACACAGAGAACATAATATTCAAATCAGGATAGTTTACATTTTCATCTCAAACATTTCAAACTTTAAATGAACACAATAATTGTACATGTTTATGGGCCACAATGATATTTCAATACATGTATACAGTGGGTACTGATCAAATCAGGACAATTAATATTTCCATTTTCTTCTCACTACCTTATAATTGGGGCCTTTGAGCTTTTCTCTCTGGTTAGACATAAAACATAATAGGTCATTGCAAAGACTTGTCCCCCAACTTTTTTGTAGAGCGCCAGAACTTATTACTGCTATCTAACTCTTTTGGGACACATTATCCAATCTCCTACTACCTACCTCTCAAAACTTCTCAGCCTCTAGTAATCACTGTTAAACATTTAGATTAACTTTTAAAAACATACATATATAAAAACATGGAGTTTGACTTATTTCTCTTAATGTAATACCCTCTAATTCCACTCTCTTTGCTGTAAATGATGAAATATCATTCTTTTGTGGCTGAATAATATTCCATTATATTCAACTGTGTGTATATAGCACAGCTTCTTTATCCTTTCATCCACTGATGGCATCTGGGTTGATTCCATATCAGCTACTGTGAACAGTGCATCCATGAATGTGGGTGGCAGGTATCTCTTTTATATGCTGATATCATTTCCTTTGGAGATATACCCAGAAGTGGATTATATAGTAGATCTACTTTTAGTGCCTCCATCTGTTCTCCATATGACTGTATTAGTTTGCATTCCCATCAATAATGTATGAGAGTTTCCTCTCACTCACATCCTTGCCATCATTTGTTTTTTGTTTTCTTTTTGGTGATGACCACTCTAACTTTGGTGAGATAGTATTTTTTGATTCTTATGGCTCTGATGACTAATTAAGTTAAGGGATTTTTTCCCATGAATTTGTTGGCCATTTGAATTTATCCCTTTAAAAATATACATGCAGACCAGTGGAACAGAATAGATTCAGAAATAACCCTATGTACTTACAGGCAAATGATTCTCAACAAAGGTGCCAAAAACATATGTTGGAGAAAGGAGAATGTCTTCAATAAACAGTGCTGGAAAAACTGGATATTCACTAGGAGGAGATTTAAATTTGACCTCTATTTCTTGGTATGAAAGTAAACTTGAGGACTGGGGTTGTAGCTCAGTGGTAAAGCACTTGCCTGGCATGTGGGAGGCCCTGGTTTCATCCCCCATAACACAAACAACAACAAAAAATGACAATGAGAACAGAATGGGTAAGAAACTCAAATGTAAGATCTGAAACTATGTAACCACTAGAAGGAACCAGAGTAAACATCTTGTGACATTAGTATAGGCAATGACATTTTTCATAAGACCCCCAAAATACAGGGAAAAAAAGTAAAAATAGACAAATAGGATTAGTCAAACTGAGAAGCTTCTATGCAGCAAACTTGCCATAGAGGAAAGAGACAGCCTGCAGAATGGGGGAAAATTTTTGCGAACGATTAATGTGACAGAAAGTTACTATGTGAAATATACAGGAACTTAAAATACTCAATAAGAATAGCCACATGAGCAACAATATCATCAACACAAAGTACTCCACAAATAACCCACTGTGATGCCAGGGCAGATTTGCTGCTCAGAAGAGCAGATCCTGGAGACAAGGGGACTTTGGACTACTCCATTCTGACAGGGCAGAAGGGGACTCCAAAATGACCCAGTTGCTCTCTGGCTACCTCTGCATTGCTTTGTGGACCAGGGTTACTCAGTCAGGGTCACTGTGATTTCAGCTGATCTTCTAGTTAGTGGCCTAAGTGAAATACACATATATATTCCCTAAGATGATGCTGATGTTGTGAAGTGTAAATGACAAGGTTCTTTCTCTGTGACTGGGATGAAGGGTGAGAATTTGGTTTGAATCTATGGTGAACTACCACATCCAGAAATGTGATTGGTGGCTGGTTGGAGGCTTCCTCTTCCTCCTCAGGGAGCACATTTATATTAGTACCATTTTGCAGGGGAGGGTGGTAATTTGTCTCAAATAACTTGGAGGTTTTGCCTGGGTGTGGAAGTTAGTATTTCTGATGTCACTCTTGAGCCAATCACCTGATGATGCTTAGCAGGCAGTTGGGCTCCTGGGTCTGAGGCCTGGAGCGGAGGTCTGAGCTGCAGCTCCAGATCAAGGTGAAGAGAGGAGGAAAGGAAGTATCAGGTTCTAGTTGGTGGCTTCTCAGACTGGCTGTGTGATGCCATCACTGGTTGAGTTGTGAGCCTTGCCAGCGCCCAGTCTGTTTTAAGAAAACAGCTCTGCTAAATTTTCTTTTAGTTTTTTTTAGGTGAACACAATATCTTTATTTATTTTTATTATGTGGTACTGAGAATCAAAACCAGTGGCTCATGCATGCTAGGCAAGTGTGCTACCACTTGAGCCACATCCCCAGACCCAGCTCTGCTAATTTTAACCAAGATTGATTTTTGGACTTTTGACTTCTGGAACTTCAAGATAATAAGCTTATTTTGTTAAGTTAAAAAAAGTTGTCAGACCTCTGGCCAGTTATGTTGTAGCCTCAGTTTCTTCATCTGTAAAATGAGATTCTGGCCCCTTTGCAGTTTTGTGATTCTGTTGTGAATTGATGGTTTATTTTCTGTCTCCTCTTCATGACGTGATGCCTACTCCTTCCCCTTCCCTCATCTATACATTTTCCTGATGGGCCAGGATAGCAAGGCAGCAACATTTTATTTACTTATCCTGAAGATGTGAATTGAAATGGAGCCTTAAATTGTCTAATTCTGAATCTGTGAGTGGATCAATTAAAGGGGGAGCCTCCAAACACTGAGTCAAAAGACCATGCTAAAATGCTACATCCTTACCACTATTCTGCAAAATTATAGTTTAATGGGGCAAAAATTATTGCATCTATGTTTGTAGCACATTTCATGAGTGCTTTGCCTCATGGATTTACCAGGATTTTAATCTAATATAAAGCTCTCTTGGTTTTTCAGAACATCCTCTTTATGGCTTGAGTTAAGTATGTTTTTATGTAACAAAACCCTTTTGTCATCTTCTAATATGGTACCAGAGTGAAACAAATTGTACCTGAGGTTTGATTGGTGGTGGTTTGAGTTCATGAAAAAAGATAAGATAAAGAAAAAACACATCGCAAAAGCAACAGAGGTTGTGTAACTCCATTAAATTATGTTTACGGGTTTACTTGTCAGAGTTTTGTAACAAAATGGTTTTTCTAGAGTCTGTTTATCAGTATTTTAATTAGTGCCTACAAATTACCCTTTTATGGGAGTCATGTTCTTGCGGTCATCCTGGTGTCTTAATAAATCAGAGCTGTCACTGCTCACGTGCTTTGCTGTTGTTAGGTTTTGCTTGTGCTTTTCTTTCTGGTGCATCTCATGGTTCTCTCTCTTCCCCAAAGGTTTCCAACAATTGTGACTCCATTTTTGTGAATGGGAAGGAAATGAAGAGTAAAGTGGACACGATAGTGAACTTCACCCATCAGCACTTCATCTCCCTGGTGGAAGTCACTGTCTGGGCACCCCGACTCCCCTTGCAGATTGAGATCTCAGACACAGAGCTGAGCCAGATCAAGGGTTGGAGGATCCCGGTGGCCTCCAACAGAAGGTGAGGACCATACCACAGTGGGTTACAGTGGTCTGTACTTGGGGTTCAGATGAGTCTGACTTGGGACTCACTCACATTTTAGTATTAACACCTTCTAGAGTAGTTGTGAGGATTCAGTGAGATGATAGGTGTGCCTAGCAAGGGGCCTGGCATTGGCTCAGCTGTTTTCCATCCCCATCTCACTCCCGTTCATTCTTGTGTTCCTCTTCCTTAGTCTCCCTGCTCATGGATGTTGGTCATTTCTCTTGGACACAATGCAGGGATTAAGACTGTGAGCTCTGGAGTGAGGCTGTCTGAGTTTTAAACCCTGGTTTTCCCACTTAAAGCTCTGTGAACTTGTGGCTTCACCTGTCCATTCCTCAGTTTCTTTATCTGAATTGAGAATAATATTACTGAAAAGTTGTCCCAAGAATTCAGTGATGTGATGCATACTCCCGTAGACAGAATTCTAAAGATGAACTGCTTGCTCTCCAAGATTCCCATCACCAAACACTGATCTGATAGGGTGGTGAGGGGACTTCACAGAAATAGCTTCAAACAACTGATCAATGGAGAGTACCCTGGTGGGCCAGACCCATCAGATACACCATTTGAGAGCAGAACATTCTCCATAGCCAATAGCATAGTGGAAGTGGGAGGGATTTGAAGGTGTGAACATTTGGACAGGGTATTGCTAGCTTTGAAGATGGACTGAGCCACATTTCAAGGAGAGAGGGTGACAGTATTTAGGAGCTGGGAGTAGCCTGAGGATGCACACCAGTCAGAAAATGGGGGCCCCAGTCCTTCAACAAAAGGATCCAAATAACCTGCAATAACCAGACAGATCCTAGAGGTGGGCCCTTCCCTCACATCTGCTCATCAGGGTCAAGGCCAGAAACAGGAGAGGAAAGGCCAAGATTGGCCGGGGTGGCAACAGGGAAGGTGGTGATGGCGCTCAGAATGTGAGAGGAGCATCCTGGGGAAATCACTCACTGCACAGACAACTGCAGGGCTGGTAGAAATCTAGACTTCAGAATGCTGCCACTGAGGGCCTGGAGGGAATTGAGGAAGGCCTTGCTAGGAGGCCACAGAGTGCTCAGCAGAGCTGGCTACTGCTGGTATGTGGAAAGCAAGTGAGGCTGGTTGTGGCTGAGGATGTGATGGGTGTGCACCTTGGAGTCTTCTTGCTATGTATGGTAAAATGCAAGAGGAGAGGTAAATGGAGGCAGGACTGTTAAAAAGGAACAGGACCTGAGGATGTTGAAGTTTTTAGCATCACTAGATGGCCAGCTATGGGAAAAGCAAGAGACTCCCTGTTGGAAAAATGGGCCCTTCAGCAGAGGCCGAGGATGGGACACAAGACTCTTCCCTGAAACCCGAAGGACAGGCCCAGAGCTGACTGCCTGTGTAGCTTCTTGATTTTGGCCCACCCTCCACCTCTTCCAGGGCTGTGCATTCTGCCTTTTGGGCAAAACTAGCAGGGAAGGAGTGGGCACCCCATGGTATCCGAAACAGATCACCTGGGTTCCAAGCCCAAGTTGTCATTAGAGCCAAAGCCCAGAAAAGCCCATCAGCACTTGTGCACTAAAACAGAACAAAGTTACTAAAACAGGTTTTAGTGGGATCCAGGGTTTTCTGTCATAATATTCAGAATGTGCAAAAGACAAATGAAAATCACTTGTTATACCAAGCAGGGAGAAAAAAAAAAACAAAGCTCTCAGTGAGGAATTACAAATAGCCCCAAAACAAAACAAAACAAAAAAAATTAGAAAATCTCAGCAAGCACATGTACTCATCATAAAGAAAAAGATGTAAATCATAGGACTAAAAAAGAGAGTAACTGTCAGTGGGGCTGTTAGAGGATCAAGTCAGTGGAGGGCAGACAAAAGAATTTACTCAATATGAGTAAGAGAGAACAAGCGAACAGAGTTTCAGGGACTTGTGAACAATGACAAAAGATCTAAAGTTCTGTAATTAGAATCTGAGGAGACAGGAAAGGGTATAGGGATGAAACAGTATTTGAAGAAATAGTGGCTGAAAACTTCCCAAATTTGACAAAAGACACAGCTTATGGATTTGAAAAGTTGGGAAATCACAAAAGTGACAAATCCAAAGAAATCCATGCCAAGGCAAATCATAAATAAGCTTGTGAAACTTAGAAGACAAAGGAAGAATCTTAAAAACATCCAGATATTACACTAATTTAAATGAGGATGAATTTCTCACCTGAGACCAAGGAGGCCAGAAAGACGTGGCACATTTTTCCAATGGTGAAAGAAAAGAACTGTCAGTCCTGAATCTATATCTGGAAAAAGTATTCTTCAAGAATGAAGGGGAAATAAAGACATTCTTACATGAAGAGAGACAGAATTTATTTCCAGGAGACCTACCCTCAAAGAATGGCTGGCGGAGCTTCTCCAAAGAAAAAGAAAATGATAACTGAGAAAGATTTGGAACTTTGAAAAGGAAAAAAAGAATGACAGAATCAGTGAAAATTAAATAGGATAGAAGTCTTCCTGAATTCATGAATTTCTTAAATTATATTTGACAATCATATTTGGTTGAAACAAAAACTTAGGACCTCATCAATGTGGTGCTTAAAGCACATAGAGGAAGTCTTTAAAACAATTGTTTGTGAAAGCAGGGAGGCCAAGGAACCTAAATGGAATTAAGGTGCCTACCTTCCAAGTGGTCAAACTTTGTTACCAGGCCAAAATAAGTTATGCATGGAGGTTAAATTGCACACCCATGCATGCATACAGGTACAATTGACTCTAAAGTTGGTGAAATCTGAATGAGCTCTGTGTGTGCCAAGGCCAATTGCTTGGTTTTGGTATTGTCCTCTCATTACAAAGATAGTCACTTTGCAGTACTGGGTAATGAGTGTATGGTATCTCTCCATACTTTTTTTTTTCTTTCAGTGAATTTGTGACTATTTCAAAATTAAAAGTTAAAAGAACTAATAGAATACAGTTTATCTTAACCTAACAGAACTGTTTTGTTTCAATAATTCAAAACTTCTAAAAGTTCACATATTTACTGACAACTTTTATCATACTGCCACCTTTTAATGAAGTGTAAAATATACTCTATAATGCACTTCTTTCAGTTTTATCCACTTAATTAAGGGTAACTTCTCATCACTAGCACAAAAAAGACAGCTGGTATCATTTCTTATAAAATAAATTGTATCAAAAATTAATACAAATAAAACAATGTTTTAAATTTCTGAGTAGATGCTGTCTCTCTGTGTGTCTTTGTTAAGTATCAGGACAACATTTAAAGACTTTGTAGCACTGAACAGAAACAGTACTGGTGATGTATTCTGATGGACTCAAAAATAGAATGGGAATGACTTTTCAGTATGTCACAATGTTTTTAATGCTGTGTCCCTTTCCCTCTGAAGGCATCTCTCTTACCCATAAAGATCTTTACTTCTTGCTTCAGGAAACTGGAATTGCTGGTCACAGTGCTGGTTCAAGGAGGCAGATTGACCTATTGTGAATAATACGTATTTCAGAAATCAAATGGAACTGGATTCAAGCCTGCTAGTTAGCAATTGTCATGTGTTTTAGTCAGTTTGTGTCACTGAGATCAGAAGACCTGACAAGAAGAACATAAAGAATGACAAGTTTATTTCAGCTCATGGTATCAGAGGTTCAGTCCATGGTCAGCTGACTCCATAGCTCTGGGCCACAGGTGAGGCACAACATCATGTCAGAAGGGCAGGGAGGAAGAAAGCAGCTCAGGACGTGGTAACCAGGAAGCAGAGAGAGTACCACACTCAGCAGGGACAAAATATAAACCCCTAAAGCCTACTCCCAGTGACCTGCCTCCTACAACTACCCCCCACTGCCTACAGTTACCACCAGTTAATACATATCAGTGGATTAATAGGTCACAGGTCTCATAATCTGATTTTTTCACCTCTGAACATTCTCTCATCGTTCCGTACATGAGCTTTTGGGAATGCCTCAGATCTAAACTGTAACACACGTGTTAACCACGGTGAGCCTTTTGTCATAACCACAGTGAAGATGAGGTTAGTTGTAGAACCAGTGAGGACGCACACAGGGACAACCAGATTGGGCTTGGCCCTGCCTCTGCACATGATCAGTTACGTGGACCCTTTCTTATCCACATGATCAGGATAGCAGTCCAACTTCAGTCTTCAGGTTTTGTGAGGAATGAATGAGTTAAACGTGTGGCTGTTGTAAAGTCAGGTGTCATTGTGGGGAGACTAGGCCCATTGTAGGTGTAACAACAGTACATAGGAATTGCTGTCAGGGAAGGTTCTGGAATTGCAGAACCAGAGGATTTCTTAGGGTGGGCTGTGGATAGATGGAGAGCATGTGCCAGGATTGGAGGAAGGGCCAGAGCCTTGGTGAAGGAAAGCGAAAGCCAGAATGGGCGAAAGGAGAGATCCACTCACAAGTTTTACCAGTAACACGAGCAGCTTTGCTCCCAGAGCAGTACTTATGGGGAGGGCAGGATGTGCCAGGGGAGAGCGCTCTGGCACCCCAAGGGCCTAAGCAGGAGGAAGCTGCTTCTGTGGAGTCCACTGGCCCAGGCCAGTGAGGAGTGGGAAATGAGAGCAGGCCAAGCCCACTGGCTCCTGGTTTATCTATGCAGTTCCTAAGGGGCTTTCCCAGTGTCTTCACACCTTGATGTCCTTGGTCCTTGATCTTTATACTCCCAAAGGGGAGGAACAGGCAGCCATTCTTATTTTCATTTTCAGCATGAGGTACCTGAGCCCATGGGAGAGCAGAGCACCTGGCTCAAGGCCCAACAGGGAGTGCAAGCAGGAATCCAGACAGCTCCTCTGTCTCAGGACCTCGCATTTCTGCTTCAGAAGCCACAGTCTTGCTTCATTCCCACATGGGGAATCGTATTTTGATGCCCAGTTTCCAGAAGGCAAAGAGCAGAGGCTCCATTTCTGCCTGTCTGGTCTGGAGTCTCCTGTGGCAGTGGACCAGGGAAGCCAGGGTGCACTTTCTGTCCACCTTCTAAGTGTGAAGCAGCCTGTGTGGCTCACGGTGACTGCTGAAAAGGTATTGAATGAATTAACTGCTGAAAGTTGAGTGAATCAATGGATGAACAGATTTGGTCTGAGAAAAGCCACTATTATTTCACTCGGCGCCGTCACCTGGACTCTAAACCAGGGGCACATGACACTCCTTCCCAACAAAGACGCTTACTCTGTTGTGTCTGTTTGTGTTCAGGCCCACCCGGGAGAGTGAAGACGAGGAGGACGAGGAGAAGAAGGGGCGAGGCTGCTCCCTGCAGTACCAGCATGCCCTGGTGCGTGTCCTCACCCAGTTTGTGACTGAGTCATCTGACTTGGGTCAGCTGACCTACATGTTGGGCCCAGACTGGCAGTTTGACATCACTGACCTTGTGACAGAGTTCATGAAGGTGGAGGAGCCCAGAGTCGCCCAGTTATAGGATGGTAGGACCCTGGTTGGTCGGAAGCCAGGAATCACCACTGTTCAGGTACAGGGGGTTCATGTTTTGCCACCTCTCCAACACCAGTACCTGCTGATGATGCAGGCAAATGCTGCCATGCAGGGGTGTGCACATGTGTGAGGGTGATTGTGCAAATGTGCAGATACAGAGTCTGCCTGTAACAGAATCATGAGAAGCAGTAGAGTATTCACCAATTTTAATAACCTAAACACATTTTGTATTTTAGAGAGGGTTGAGAAAAATGCCTGATATGTTTTTACCAGAGAAAGCTAAATGAAACACACAGTGTAAGTCACCCTTTTCCCGATATGACACTTTTTTTTTTTTTAATCTGTACTAGGAGGTGATAGAATCTCTGAAAGCAAATTTCTCCTCAACCTTGACATTTAACCATTTAGCTATATTATACCTTTAACAGTAGGCAAAGATTTTTTAAAGCATGTATTTGGCTATAAATCACAAAGAATCTATAGTTAAAAGCTCTCTATTTTCATCATACTAATAGTAAAATAATTTCTAACTGATTTTGGCAAGATTAAAAAAGAAAAATTCACAGCTTGTTTTATTTTTGCAAATTTAAAATGTTACTGCTCATAGTTAATTATGTCTTATTTTAGGTGTTGCCAAAGTTAATTTTCGACAAAGTTGAGTTAAATATGTAACATTCTATATTCGTGTCTATTTCTGTGTAATATATTACCACCAATTTAACATTTCAAGACAACAGTAGTTTATTAAGTTATATCTGTGGGTACACAGTCCTGGTGGGTGGGCTGGTTCTATGCTTAGGGTTCCTAAGGCTGAGATCCAGGTGCTGGCTGGGCTTGGCCCTTAATCTTGGAGTTTTGGGAACTCATTGGCTTTTAATCTCATTCAGTTTCTTGGAAGAACTTAGCTCTCTTATAGCACTGAGGTCACAGTTTCCTTACTGTCAGCCAGGTGTTGCCCTGTCCTCTAAGAGGACCCCTCCATTCCTTCTCACATGGTCCCTCTCTCATCAGTAATGGCTGGATTCAGTCCTTCTCACACTTATAGTCTGAATTCTTCTGCTACCAGCTGGGGAACACACTCTGCTGTTAAGGGTTCCTGTATAATTCGGGAGACCCTTGTTTTAGAGCCAGCTATGCCATATAACAGTGTGATTGTAGAGTACTTTCTCATTGTGTTTGAAGGTTAAGGTCAACATTTAGTGGGACTGTTCTAGAAATTGTGCCTTTGACATATTCCTGTCCCGGTTTCAGTCTACCATGGTTGCACATTAGATGGTAAAGTGGTAGGAACGGCTCCTTAGGACATGATTATTCCCTGCCCCACTTTAACTGTTCATCCAGTTATCCCACAGTGGTCCACACAGTGATCATATTGTCCCGTGACAGGCATCTAACCTGCCCATTGGAAGGGATGTGAGCAGGAGAAGAGGACTGAGCACCATTTCCTTCAAAAGAGTTGACCACAGGCCACTGCTTTCAAAGCCTGAATGTCGGTTGTTGGGAAAGCGCTACTCTTTGAGTGCTGAGTACCAAGGCAGGCAATTTGAGTTATTGCCTCTAACTTAAAACAAGCTTATCTCAGAAAATACACTGTTGTTATCATGGCATGAATCCCAAGAAAGGAAGTAGATTAAGGTGACCTTTATAAAACTTCTTCAAGTGCTAAGTTTAATTGGACAATGGCAGGATAACTATGTAAGCAGTCTTCCTGTGTGCCCTCTGTAGAGCACTGCAGAGTCTCCCGAGGCCCCGCCAGCTCCAGGGCTTGAAATTGTCATGTGGGCAGAGACCACGCTTTCTCACTTACTCACCAGGTCCTCTCACCTCTCTCTGACTCCATCCTGGCTGAGAAGACAGTGATTGTCCTGGATGACCACATCACCATCATGGAGCTGGGCGTTCAGCTGGTGGCTGGCTTGTCCCTCTCCCTGCAGCCTCACAGGGTGGACCGAAGGGTCATCGTCTCCACAGTGGCTGCCCAGGATGTCACAGCAGGTGAGAGCCTGGAGGCCTGTGCCCTAGTCCATGGTCAGCTCCTCTCCAGGTTGTTTTGTCCTACAAAGAGGGTCAGCAGGGTCTCGCAGCCTCTTGCAGCCCCTTGCTGTTCTTGGAGCTGCTCCCTGCATCTCCCCCAGCACATTGGGTCTAGGAAAGCGTGTAGAGACGGAGGTTCATTTCCTCTGCCATTTGTTCTTCAGCAGGATAACCTGTGATAGGCACAGTCTGCTGTTGGACTGTGAGCTGAGGGCCATGTTTTTTTACCTTGGCCAAACCAAATGGGTAATTTTTGATACTGCATCTTGCTAAGTTGCTGAGACTGGCCCTGAACTCATGATCCTCCTGCCTCAACCTCCTGGTTGGCTAGGATTACAGGTGTGCATCACTGTGCCTGGCTGTTGCAAATCATTTATAAAGATAACCGAGGCACTGGACCGTTCAAGCAGTCCAACTTCATAATCCATCGTTTACCAAGAAATTTACCAGAGTGTGTTTTGCTTCATCAGCATTGGCTTCCTAATAAAGAAGGTTCAAAGCTATATTATCTTTAGCAGTAGCCTGATTAGTTGCATCTAAAATTGATTCAGATAAATTGCCTGATCTTTCCAAGTGTTTTTAGAAAGGTCAAAGTCAAATTCTTTGATATGGCATGCAGTAAATTAATTTACACTTTAGTGCATTCATGAAAGCATATTATTTATTTCTCATACCAGTGGAGCGCCTGCAGATTATTGATGCCAGTTCAAGGCATGACAAGAACTGTTAAAGATTATAAAATGGAAGATTTTTTTCTACATATACTTAAAAGTGTTTATATAGGAAATCTTGCTTATGTTGTAAATTTGAAGGGAGCTGATCATGCTTTGATTTCGTTTCCCTCAGGAAGCCATAGTCAGTTCTTGGATTTTGTTCAGTGATGGCTCCGTGACACCTTTAGACATTTATGATCCCAAGGATTTTTCCATAACTGTCTCATCATTGGATGAAATGGTGGTGTCTCTCCAGCCAAACTTGCAGTCCCAGTGGCCGGTTGTGGTTGTAGAGGGCGAAGGACAAGGGCCCCTGATAAAGTTGGAGATGATGATCAGCGAGCCTTGCCAGAAGACCAAGAGGAAGAGTGTTCTTGCTGTGGGTAAAGGAAGCGTCAAGGTCAGGTTTGCACCAGGCATCGAGGAGGAGCACTGAGGAGGCAGCAATGACATTGAGGGCGTGAACCGGGAATACAAAGATCACCTTAGCAACTCCATAGAGCGGGAAGGGAGCCAGGAGTGAGCAGTCCAGGAGTGGCTCCAGCGTGGGGGCCCTGCTGGCCCAGAGGACAGGACCAACAGGAGCACAACCCTGCCGCTGCCTGGGGAAGGGAAGGACAAGAAGCTACTCAAGAGTGGTGGTACAGATGCCTTCACCAGCTTCCCCACCCAGGGGAAGTTTCCAGAATCCAGTAACCCTAGTGACCTTACAGTGGCCTCCAGAGGCTTGACGGACTTGGAGATCGGCATGTACGCCCTGCTCTGCGTCTTCTGCCTGGCCATCCTGGTCTTCCTGATCAACTGTGTGGCATTTGCCTGGAAGTACAGACACAAAAGGCTTATGGTGAGCGAGCAGGGCAACATCCCCCACTCCCACGACTGGGTCTGGCTTGGGAACGAGGTGGAGCTTTTGGAGAACCCAGTGGACATCACGCTCCCCTCGGAGGAGTGCACGACCATGATAGACAGGGGGCTGCAGTTGGAGGAGAGGAACTTCCTGCTGAACAGAGGTTCCCAGAAGCCCTTCCACAGTCATCTCCTCAGACCTTCTGACTATGTCTATGAGAAAGAGATGAAAAACGAACCTGTAAACTCTTCTGGCCCGAAGAGGAAGAGGTTCAAGTTTACTTCCTATACCACCATCCTCCCCGAGGATGGGGGCCCGTACACCAACTCCATCCTGTTTGACAGTGATGACAACATCAAGTGGGTCTGCCAGGACATGGGGCTGGGGGACTCACAGGACTTCAGAGACTATATGGAAAGACTGCAGGACCAGATGTAAACTCCTTTCTTATGTTGTATTCACTTTTATGCCTTCTGTTTTCTGAACGGTGGAGCAGTGAGTCTGATCAGCAATAGGGTGACTTCACAAAGCTGAGTTCATGGAGGTCTGGAGGGGCCCTTTCTAAGCATGTTTCAGAGGCCTGGAGAGTTACATCAGCTGAGTTTTTAAGTTGGGAAATGCCTCTTAAACAGCTACATGTAGGGACTGGAGGAATTCTAAGGCAACAGTTTTGCCTACAGCCTGGTACCAGCTCAGTGCAGATAGAGTAAACCTGACCCCACAGACATTGTTAGTCATCTCATGGCGCATGGCTGTGTGTAGTGAGGAGAGATTTGGATGGTGATTTTCCTGCTCCTAGACCTTTTAAAGCACAGTGGGCAGGTACAGCCCGTGGCCTGGGTTTGGACACACATGAGAAGTGACTGAATGTAGCTATCCTTATTTGTTAGGAGCGCTGCTCAGTATTTTTATATACATTTCCACCTGCACCTGTTCCTTTGACCTCTGGAATTTTTTTTTTTTTTTTGAAACATGAAGAGAAGAAATTTCAGTCTTTGAGATCTGTGTGATTTATAAATGAGTTTTATTCCCTGGGATTTGCCGTGTCACGTCATTTCCTGGGTCTCCATACAGGATGTCAGGTTTTTCAAGTTTTGAGCACTTCTTTCTTTAGTGACAGCATCTAAGAAGCTTATTCTCACTTTCTTTTTCCTACCTTTTGCTGTTGAACTTTCTTGTGTATGACTGGGACAGGGGTTTTGCTTAAAATGTTGATATCCAGTGAGGGAGGGTCATCTCTTTACATTTTTCTATGTGAAGTTTAAAACAACTTGGAGGAAAGTTGTGAACACACACATTTATTTTTGTCCTCTGTTTGCTAAGAATCCTGGGGAGCTCCTGGAGAACACTGCTGAGGGCAGAAAGCCCCTAGGGAGCAGTGATTATGCAGGTTCTTTGTAGACAACACAATGTACCATCCAAACGGAATCTAAAGGTAGAACCATCTATATCTGCACTGAAGGGAAATTGCCCAGGAAATAGCTTCCAATTAAACTTTCCATTTTACCAGAAAAAAAATTAAATGAAGTTTCAAGTTAGCAATACATATAAATTATCCATACAATAACTATCTTCACAGGTGTGCATTTGTGGGAAAAGAAATGGGTTCCCCCCAGAATTCACAAAAATAAATGACTGTTCCAGAGCCCAAGAAGCAGCTATTATGAACACACTATAGCTATTGAAAAATCAAAGTGCTAAGAGGAAAAAAGTGATTCTTGTATAATTTTTAAATAAAAATATTTAGAATCATCATGAATCATCATCTCAAAGCAAGAATTTCAGATTAGCACAATGCGACATATTTATTTATTAAGATGCTATAGGTGGAAAAGCAGACACTGGACTAATCTGTCTCATTATGAGTTAACTGAGCCATTTGCATCCCTAAGAAATGGAATTTGAAAGGCCGAAAGTAGGAGGCACTTGCAGCAAGTCACCCTTACTCCCAGTGGCTGACAACTGAGCTATTCAAAAGAGAATTGTTTTCATTCAATTGCTCTCTTATTTTAGATTCTCATGGATGGGAACTTGACAACTCAGCCTCTTCTAGCCATGAAGCAGCAGCCAGAAATTTCTCCTATATCTCTTGCATGGCACAAACAGGGCTGAAATTGCAGGTGGTATAGTGGTGACCTCAGAGGCTGGTATTGGATTGGTTTTATAAGTATTTAAAATGGTGCTTAGGAGCTGAAGCCAGGGACTGCAGAGAGCTTCAACTTAACTGGAGAATGAAGCAGAATACCTAGGCCTTAACTGCAAAAGGAGTTTGCAGGACAGCTGGAGACTTTTAGGAAGAGCTCCCTGGTTAGCCACTGGCCTTTCAGAGGGCTTAGTGGGAAGGTAGCACAGAACAACTGTGAGGACAGAAGAGAGTTTATGCCTGATGGATGCACAGCCAAGCTATCCAGGAAGTCTGGCTCCTTCTAGGAGACGTTTTCAGTTCCATCTTCTTTTGGAGCTTCAATATCAAAGTAATAATGGAGGTCCTTTCTGAAAGTGAGGAGTATGAACTGAAGGGGAGGAGTTTACTCAGCAGGCTGCCTCCCAACCACTGGCACATCGAGACTTTGGTGGGGGCATATTTTGGGAGGAATTGCCATTGTCGTGGGGAGCATCACTAAGGAACATACAAATCGGAGCCTTTCCTGAGGTGGGAACATGGGGCAGGGACAGAGAGCAAACATGGAGTATTGGGTTGTGCCAGATCAGCCTAAATGGAGCTGGAAGCTGACCATGATCCTGAAGAAGCTTCTGGTGGACAACACAGACTCACCCAGCATGAATTAGCGCCCATATAGTCACCTGTGCTCCTTCACATTAGAGCTCAGTTAGTTCAACATGGAGGAAGTCAAATGGAAGGTCATGGGAAAGGGTCCCTTTTATTATATAATATCCACTCACAAACACACACACATATGTACATGTGTGTGTGCTTGAAGCTGAAGAGTCAAACGTAGACCATTTTGTGGGACTCAAGAGTGACAGTTGTTTTCAGATGTGGCATGGACACCTTTCATTGAAGTATTTTATGCTCCTATTTACTGCAGAGTGTAAACCATGGGTTAGATCACCTTGTTTTCCAGCTAGTCAGCCACAGCTATTAAGCACTACACCTCAAGATACCTAAACCCAAACGGGAACAACATAAACTATTAAGCCTTGAACTCCAGTTTCCAGTCACCATGCTTTCTCCTGTCTTCATTCTCTGGGTTTTCATGGTTGAGATATTCAGATCCTGGGGCTTGATGAATAACCTAGCCCCAGGTTGTTAAGAGCTGCCAAATCCCCTTTTCCCCCATAGAGTGGCACACTCAGACTCCTCCTGAGGGAGGAACCTGCAGGCTGTGGACATTGGTCGCAGGCAGGGAGCTTGAGATGTGAGCTGAGGACTGCTTGGCTTGGAGCAGTTGAAGATGTGCAGCCACTGTCTCCAGGTCCCCGTGTTCCTCTTTCAAGTCCAGAGTACAGGGACCAAGAAGCAGCTGCCAGACCAAAAAGCCTGCTTTTAAACATAGGTGTGCTGCATTTGAGAGAGCAAGAAGAGGAAGAAAAAGATCCCGCAAACCCCAGAATACTCTGTGTACCAAGAGAAGAAACATCACCTTCCTAGCTGTTGCACACACTGGCCAGGGTAAATTCCCAGCCTACAATAATCCTCCATATCTACACAGAAAGTTTCAATTTATGCACATGAATGCAGTGAAAACATGGATTGGTGTTTCTGTCCCATCGCCATATCTGGAGATATGTACTTGCTGATTTTTAAGTTTTAAGAAGTCCACCTTTGTGTAAATTGATCAGCTTTTTAGAAAGGGATCTTTGTAATATTGGCAAATTGAGACCATAGTAAAAGTTTTGTCAGCAAAGATCCATTCAGTCCACTGAGGGTGGCTTCATCTGAATCCTTCATGCCACTGGCATCATTGGGCTTTCTACTCTAATCATCTTAAAAACTATCTTAATTCTCCATTCTGGTCTCTGTAAATGACACCTCAGATGGTTTATAAACTTAGTAACCTTCCTCTCAATTAAAATTACATATGTGTTCTGTGACGTACATCACCTGTATGTAAAGGGACAGGTTGGATGGTGGAAAAGCTATGCTGAAATGTGGATATCAGATATTTTTGTATGTAATATAGACATTACACTGAAACTCTGAGAGGTGTATCAGAATAAACACATTTTAAAATAAAAGCATGCAAAACTGTAGCATTTAAATGTACAGACCTCCAACTCAAAAATATCTCAACTGATGATGGGAAAAACATTAGGACCTGACATTGTGAAATGCATTGAGTTAGGAATTCTGGCCTGGAAAGGACATGGCTCATGTTGGCAATGTTGATGAAACTTGCTGGAATATTTTGATTTTACTCTTCATTACTTTTGGATCTTTCCTTTTTTCCTGGAAATATTTCAGAAATAAAGTGACTTCACTTTTCCAGCATAATGGTATATTGTAACCACAGGGTAATTCATCGTTTTTAACATGAAAATAAACATTTAAACATTCTTCAATTGTTTCATTATTTTACCTACATGTTCCTTTTCTAATTTCAACTTCTATATGATTGGCTATATTTATAGATACATATATTTTTCTTTTCAGCCAGAGATTGTAACATCCTTGATGACGTAATAAATGGACACCAAAATGAAATATTCCCTAAAAGTCAAAGATGACTTTGAGATTTAAAAATTTTCCCATTTGTTTTCCTAACAGGCTGGGGATACTTTCCAGATATCTTACAAAGAGGACTCATTTCTCATGTCTCTGTTGAGGGTCAGAGCACCTTGAAATCAGGTCTAAAGTGCAAGGTGCAGTGGGTGTTTGGTAGTGTAATAACTGGCCACCCTCTGGCTTTCCCTGGTCAGTGACTTGGTTTTGTGGATGCATTTGGGCAGTAGCTTTGCATGGGCTTGAGCCTGGGTGCTGAGGATCCAGATGGAAGCTCTAGAGATGCAAATGAGACACAGGACAGCAGGGGCCTCTGCTTAGAAGATGAGGTAGCTGGTTCATTTGAGGGACTGGTGGGTGTGTTGGCCAAGTACCTAAGGCTGCAAGTGCATTTCTTGAAACTGCCAGTGTTATCTTTATCACTTTGGCAAATACTACCCATTGTTCTCAGGGTGCATATGAGTGTCTCAGGCAGTAACTTGGCATGTCTTAAATGTTTCATGCCACACCTGGTCTCTCATCAGACCCTTCAGACCCCTGTAAACGCTGGCTTGTGAAATGTAGGCTGTGAGGTAATTGGCTTGTGAAATCTAGGCTGTGAGGTAGCAGGCTTTCTTGCTTATTTATAAAATGTTTGGCTCATTTGGCAGCAAATGAGCCAAAAAACTTTGCTAGGTGTACAAACCCACCCCCCATCAGGATTACTTTTCAGCACTTGGGTAATTATTACCCACTAACAGCTTTCAAAGCTTCT